TTCTGCAAGCCCCCACTGCCGACCCTGGCCCTACTCCTTCCATGTCCTTTACGTGGTTGTTTGTAATGCTGTGCCATCTCCGCAATGAGAGTGGAACCCGGTTGAAGGCCGGGCGGGCAAGTCGGGTGGACCAGTCCATGCCACACGACAAGTGCTGTCGGTATTGCCTAAAAATTGGAAGGAGCTAGTATTGACTAACATCGCCTTCATACGTCGCCACTGAATGTCACCGCAGACTGCCTGGTAAGGTAGGAGAGTCTGAAGAACCGAGCGAATCATGCGTGGACCCAACCTAATTGTCGCCCGTAGACGCCATCGAGTGCTAACACGGAATTCCGTTTTTCTCCACTTCAGTGCAATATTCTGATTCAAATTTTTCTCTAACGTCTAAAGCAGATATTTACTGAAGTGGCAGATGGTGTAACTTGCAAAAATAACTTAATTCACTAGCCTAAATAAGAAATCCCGTTTGACAAACATTCACAGCGATCCAAGCGCCACCTAGCGGCAGGTCCTTGAAACCTGGCCTTGCAGCTCGGCGGCTGACAGTAGACCACACGGTGTGGTGGGATGAGGATTTTTCCACAGTTTGCGCACTACCCCGACGTCTAAGAATATCGCAATAATTTTTATGCTCAACGTTAAATTTTGGCTTCACCCCGCCATGCTTAATCTCAGAGAAGAAAAACCATATTGATCGACGTACTGATCCTTGCCTTCCAGTCGTGTCGGTTTTCAATAGCCCCTTTCGCTCGTCGCCGAGTGAAGAACAAAAGTACTCTAAAAGCCCGGAACCAGTAGCGCGCCACCAAGCGGCCGTTATAGCGAACTGTCAAAAGCTGAACCCTGATTGGTCCAAGCGTAGGTCCGAACGAAGTTCACAGCATCGGCCGCTAGGTGGCGCGCTAGTAGTCCCTGCACTGTGATTACTTTTGTTCTTCAATCGCTTCCTCATTCCTGACTGCATTGAAAAGGTATACTATAAGTGTAAATTGAAGCGTAATGGTGTCTAGACAATAATCATGCAGATAAAATTACAGATAAAGCGTTGATATACTTGAGTCAAAAGTAGTATTTTAACACACTTTTGAAGTATTGTTTAACTGAGCAATGGTGAGTGTAACATAGCTATAGATCAAGCTGAAGTTTCGACTCTATTTAAGAACTGAACTCTTAACTGGAAAAAAACTGCAGTCAGACTACTATTACGAGTACCACCTGAACAGTACACAAACTTGTAAATAATTACAGAGTTTTTTCACACTTTGACTGCACTGAAGACCGCAGTTTGTGCACTGCAGTTTTTCACTGTAGTCGGTACTCAGTTAAAACTAGACTTCCTTTCATCCTGTTCGAGGCCAAGAAGTGCTAAATCATCTACAAACGACGGCTAAATGACGTCTGATCAACTTGGTAGTGGGCTCATTCGATTCGTCTCTTCAAGACGGTCATTTTGACACCTATCTCGATAGTATGCGGTGCATAGGCGCGCATCCTGGCTGCCTAGAAGGTCCTCGAAGTGCCCCATCCTCTACAAAAGCATGCTTTACCGAGCAGATATCACTCCGGTTCGAGTGCCAATCGATTCCTGTGCTTGAATCGAGTTTCTTGGACCCACCTGGTGACTGCAGGGCGTGCGCGCGCTCGCATCCTGGCCCCCTAGAAGGTCCTCGAAGTGCCCCATCCTCTACAAAAGCATGCTTTACCGAGCAGATATCACCCCGGTTCGAGTGCCAATCGATTCCCATGCGTGAATCGAGTTTGGTGGACCCACCTGGCGACTGCAAGGCGCGCGCGCGCTCGCATCCTGGCCGCCTAGAAGGTCCTCGAAGTGCCCCATCCTCTACAAAAGCATGCCTTACCGAGCAGATATCACCCCGGTTTGGGTGCTAAGCGGTTGTTATGCGCGCATTTAATTTATTGAAGCAAATGACTACTGCGAGGGGCGCGCTCGCACGCATCCTGGCTGCCCCAATGGTGTTCGAAGTGCCCCATCCTCTTCAAATGCATGCTTTACCGGTCTGATTTCGCCGTGATTTAATTTTCTAGCAGCATGAGCACTTCAAACGCGTGTTAACAAACTTCCGGGCCTTGGTAATGTCACAATAGAGGCTTAGTGAAACAGGGTTGCCGCGCTTCCGGAATTTCGGATTTATCTGACATTTCCAGGTTTTTCAGAGACATCTTTTGCCATTTTCCCTGACATTTTGGCTAATTTTTGAAGGGAGTTTTCGCGCGTGGAAAGGATATCCCATCCGGCGCACGTTATGACTTTTTGGCCAGAAAGTAGGTATTTTGACCTGTTTTTCACGAATGTCCCTGACATTTCCAGGTTTTCCCGGTTCTTTCTGACATAGCTTCATTTTCCCTGACAATTACAGGTTTTCCCTGTTTTCCAGGTGCGTGGCAACCCTGTGAAAACAAAATTTGGACGGTTCCCTTTTCTATGTATTTCTATCCACACATTTGAATGACCTTCCACCGTCCTTAATGATAAAAAAAATGCACAAACTAGTTTAACAGACACTCTATGTTGCTTCCTCGTATATACTCTGCAAACTCAATTGTGTGCGGCATGCACTTGGTGCGTGCCTGTAGGCACACACTTCTTTCCTGCATGCCTGGCAGTCACACACCTCTTGGTGCATTCATGGCAGGCACACACTTCTTTTCTGCATGTCTTGCAGGCACAACTGCTTGGTGCCCGGCAGGCATACAATTCTTGGTGTATTGCCTGGCAGGTACACACTTCTTTGCTGCATGCCTCAGGCACACACTTGCTTGTGTGCATGCCTCAGGCACACACTTGCATTTGTGCATGCATTAGCTACGGCAAAAGTGTGCCTGCAGGCATGCTCCAAGAAGTGCGTGCCTGGCACGCAATTGAGTTTGCAGAGTACATACAAGGAAGCAACACAGAATGACAGTTAATCTAGTTTGTGCATTTCTCGTATCAGTAGAGACGGTGGAAGGTCATTCAAATGTGTGGATAGAAATACATTTATACGAGAACCGTCCAAATTTTGTTTAACCAAAGCCCGGAAGTTTGCTAACACGCGTTTGAAGTGCTCATGCTGCTAGAAAATTAAACCACGGCGAAATCAGACCGGTAAAGCATGCATTTGTAGAGGATGGGGCACTTCGAACACCTTTGGGGCAGCCAGGATGCGTGCGAGCGCGCCCCTCGCAGTAGTCACTTCCTTCAATAAATAAAATGCGTGCATAACAACCGCTTGGCACCCAAACCGGGATGATATCTGCTCGGTAAGGCATGCTTTTGTAGAGGATGGAGCACTTCGAGGACCTTCTAGGCGGCCAGGATGCGAGCGCGCGCGCGCCTTGCAGTCGCCAGGTGGGTCCACCAAACTCGATTCACGCATAGGAATCGATTGGCACTCGAACCGGGGTGATATCTGCTCGGTAAAGCATGCTTTTGTAGAGGATGGGGCACTTCGAGGACCTTCTAGGAGGCCAGGATGCGAGCGCGCGCACGCCCTGCAGTCACCAGGTGGGTCCAAGAAACTCGATTCAAGCACAGGAATCGATTGGCACTCGAACCGGAGTGATATCTGCTCGGTAAAGCATGCTTTTGTAGAGGATGGGGCACTTCGAGGACCTTCTAGGCAGCCAGGATGCGCGCCTATGCACCGCATACTATCGAGATTGGTGTCAAAATGACCGTCTTGAAGAGACGAATCGAATGAGCCCACTACCAAGTTGATCAGACGTCATTTAGCCGTCGTTTGTAGATGATTGAGCACTTCTTGGCCTCGAACAGGATGAAGGAGCCCGATTTCGGCGTGGCACCATATCCAGATCGATAGAGCACCCCCGAAAACATAAAGGAGGACTATTATTTCGTTTTCATCACAAAGTGCAAGGTTGGCCTGTTTTTTGTCCCTTAACGTCCCCACTATTTATATGGGTGACCATTTCTTATTAATGTCTTATTTGGACAAAAAAAGGAAGCTGATTCAAATGCATCGGCCGCAGTACCTGACCAATATCTTATAGTGTAAACGACACTGTTATGCGGTTTACTATTGAACAAGGTAGGTTTACGCCAGACCGCGTCTTGCAAGACGCGTCGTAACAGGCTTCGCGATGTCTCGCTGCCTGTTTCTCCATCCGCGCCTGGCGTACCTACCTTGGCCTGCGGCGCTAGCCTGCCTTCGGCAGGCATTGGCTTCTCCATCGTCGGTTCTTACTTGTTGCATGCTGGGGGGCTCCGCTCCCCAGACCCCCTCCATTCTAGATAGAGTTGCTTCATCTACAGATGACAAGATCTTGACCCGTGTGACTTTTTAACGTGTCGGGGCTGCGGGGCTCCGCCCCCCAGATCCCCCTTTCTTCAAGACAGAAGTGATCTGCCTGCAAAACACTCGATTTTTCGCTGTTTTTTAGGTGTTTTTCGGCTATAAAAACTGAACCAGTTGAGCT